GTGTGCCTTATGTGCTTTTGAGTGGTAGTAAGGAATGGGAGTGTAAACAGAGAATATGGCCTTGTGCAGAAAAGACAGAACAGAGGCTCGATTTATTGCTGCTCCAACGCAGAAGAAAATCAGATCCTTTCAACCAGCATTTTAATGAGCCACATCAACAGCAGGCTAGCTTTTTTTCTTTTTCCTTTCCCCACTTTCCTTTTGACTTGAAATCAGCCAGGAACAAGTCCTAGTTTTCCCTAACATAATTTCTGCACTTTCTGACATGCAGATATTCCATTAGATTCCTCATCCTTGCATTGTGATAGAAACACCTGGTTCTACTGCCATTTTTATTTATTTAAAGCATTTATGTAGCTGAGCTAACAACTGGGCTGCATTTGTTGAACTCTAACAGAAAAAGGACCATGGAGATGTTCTCAACTGAACTTGAACTTTCTCCGTCTCCTCCTCCTTCCTCTTCCTTCTTTTTCTTCCAGAGCTTATTGTTGCTAGGCTTATGGCCCCATCTGCTTTTGAAAAGCTGGGAGAGGCTATTCATAGAGCCCTCAATGATCTCCCACGCAAACATTAATCAGAAGGGCTTCTACTTAGAATGCACAGTACCAGAGGTTTGCAAAGCTATTTCAGGACTCTGTCTTAGGGTATCTCTTAGAGACTATTGGTGTACTGTATAAGCTCCCCCCCCCCACACATCCCAGCTAAGTTCATTTGAGTTAACTAGTTCAAATCTCAGCGCAGTTGGCAAGCATGAAAGTAATGAATTACTCTGCTGTGGCAATGTGTGCGTGCACGTGTTTGTGTGTGAAGTGACCTTGATAATTTACTGTCCCAGCTATGCACGCCACATGATTAGTACAGTGACCTTCAGAAGATACACTTGCTACTGTGCGAAAGCAAATTTGCAGAGCAATTAGTTGTTTACATACTGCCATTTTATGTTGGGTTTTGTTATCCATTGAAGAAATCCATTCTCCAAAGAATGGGTAAATATATCTGAAAAATATGTAAATATGCCTAAAAACAGTCCAGGCAAGTGCTAATTTCCCACAGCACTTTTGTTAAGGTATAGTGGAAATATTTAGATAGACACAAAGATAGATACTAGTGCATTTTAAAAACTTCAGAAAGTAAATGCACAGTGATCAGCATCAACATAAAAAAAAAACTTAGAAGCAAAGATATTAAAAGGGCATTAGAACAAACATGAACATCCCACTTAGTTTGTGTGGTGCAGTAGTGAGGGTGTTGAGCTGGCCCCAGAAAGATTTATGGTAAATTCTAAATCCCATGCAGCCATAGAACCTCACTGTGTGGCTTTGGGCCAATCATCCTCTTCTACCCAAATCCATTTCAAGGGGTAAAATGGGAGGAGAGACCACCTTCAGCTCCTCTACAATGAGTGCAGGGATGGGTTTCAATTTATTTTACTACCAGTTCGCTGGTGCACGTGCGCACACTCGCACGATGCTTCTACGCATGTGCAGAAGCATCCGGGTGGGTGGGCGGAGCTTCTTGCTGCCACCACTACTGGTTCGCCCGATTCGAGGCAAACCAGCAGGAACCCACCTCTGAATGGGTGGGATAAAAATCTAGAAATGCATTTTAAAAATGCACATGTAATCTAAGGAGAAATTTTTAAAAAATCCTGTGTACAATATTTGCATTTGAAATGCCATTTGTATGTGTATGTATGTATGTATGTATGTATGTATGTATGTATG